CCCCCCCCCGCCACCTCCAGATGACGACTCGGCCTCGCCCGAGTCCGCCCCCGGGAACACGCGTGACGACGAATACATCTACCCGGACACGGGCGGCGTAGACGACGACGACGACGACGACATGCACGTGGCCGTCGGGCAGCCAGCCGGTCCGATCCAGGGCCGAGCCGCCGAAGAGGTACTCGTATTTAGTTCGAATCGACCAGGGAATACGCCGCCATGTATACTACCACGGCGCGAAGCCCGAGTGTCTCTTTCTTGAATGTTGCGCTTGCGCGTGCGCCGTTGTGGAAGGGATGGTTAGTACGGCCAAGATGAGTGCTAGTACTCGAAGCCGAGTCTCCGTGTCCGTCAGGGACTATCTCGTTGCGCAAGAGACCACACTACGGCTGTCTACCGTTCGTTCAAAGGCCGCGTTCTCCATCTCTTGTTGCTCGTGCACCAAACTATCTTCCCCGTTGTTGGTTCGATGCGCCCCCCAGGCTGCGCGGCAGGAAGAGCTCGCTCGGGTGTTGGCGGAGAGCAGGAGGGATGCGCGGAGCAACGAGAATGCATCCTCCGGGGGCGCAGCGGAAGCCTCGGCCAGCCAGGGCTCCTCCTCCAGCCGCGGGGCGAGTGGTGAACATGTGAGCACCGCGTTTTTCGATAAGGTATGGTATCCGCCGCACCGCTGTTGTGTGTTTGTACTTCTACCGGGTGTCGTTCTCCTGACAACACGCACACACACACACACGCTTCCCCTTGGTCGAGTTTGACCTTTGCGGGTACCTCCTCAGGTGTGCATGTTTTTGTAGAGGTGGCGTGGATGTTACTCAAGAACACACACACGCACGTCCTCATGGATGGGTCTCGCTCGTCAACCATGCCAGCTTACACCCCCATAATGTGGTTGGTCACGCAAACAACGTTTCTTGACTCCGCGTGGCGTCGATTGGTTATTCCGTTGTTTGCCTGTTTCGCCTACTTTCCTTTGTTTTGGGCCCACACAGGTGCCGGCGAGACATGGGCTCACGAACGGCGGTTCGACCTGTTGGCTGAACACCCTCATCCAAGTCGCGTCCAGCCCGCGCACGACCCTCGGCAGGATGCTGATGGAGCTGGTAAGGTTTTCGTGTCCCGGTTGTTCAGAGACAAAAGTTGTAGCTCCAACCGGTGGAGGGCGCGTCGAGCACGAGCGAACGCGTTCAACCCAACGCGCTAGGTTCGACGTGATGCGAGAAATAGCGAGGTCGCCCTGTGGGCAGCCTCTTGATAAAGGGTTAGTATATATCGCGGCCGAGGAGAGCCCGGTTGGCCAGATTCGTTCGGCGATCTCGGCCCCTCTGCTGCCCATGTGCCCCACGTGCCCTGCTCAACGACAGTCCCGGTGCGATTGGGACGACGCCATGAAGGAGGGGCTCTCGGCACTCTGGCAGATGGTCGACGCCACTGGGAAGGTACGGCTACATTTCGCACAATGCGAGTAGATTGTGTGAATTGGCAAACGAGTTTGCTCCACTGTCTGGCTATCTTTTTTAATTCTCCGAGGCAACCGTGGCTGGACGTAAAAAAAAACTTTAATGCGTGCGTGCTCCATTCATGCTGGATAATAGGAGTGTTGGTGCGGGTGGAGTAACGTCCACTTGGTGTTCCCATCGGTGAAGATTTATCCTAAACGACAAGGATCCCGTCCGCAGGTGACCTCGGCGGAGCCAGACACGCCCTCCATCCACGCTGGTTTCGTTGGGGCGAACGGAGTCCTGAAGCCGGCGGGGTTCAACGATTGGAAGCAGGCAAGTCGTGTTGAGCCTCGACCCTGTCCTTTGCGTATGTAGAAGTGGATGGCGCTGAACCGAGCGCCAATATGTCGCGATGTTTAGGTGAAGCCATGATGCCCGGTGGCGGTGCTCCATCGGGTCTGAGTGACGCGTCCCCACCGCCATCCCTTGCACCCCTCCCTGTGCCCGCGATTTGGATAAAACGAACAGCAAGACATATGCGAGGCGTTCGTCAAAATCTGGGAGCTGCTTCAGTCCCAGGCGACTGCGACGGGGACCCCGCTGCCCCCCCCTCTGACAGCCACGACCATGACGACGTCAACTAACGTGAGTTTGATGAAAGAAGCACCCGATCGCGCAGACCTTGCGAGAGACGGGGGGAGGGTCGAACCTAGAGAGCAGGGTCATGCTTTCGGTGTCCTCTAAACATGAGTCCCATTTTGTCATTTATGAGTTGACTCCAACAACCCAGCAGCGCGCGTGTATACGGGGCAGCACGCACACGCGAGTCACGATCGTATGCGAGCAGAGCAAACCTCTGGGCTCGGAAGCGGGGACCCTCACGGCCGTAGTTGAACGAGTCGTCAAATTGGTGCTCAAACGCGCAGGCACAATGCTCCTCGTGCGGCTTGGTGCACTCGGTGGGAGACGGGAGCCTGGAGACGCACCTGATGCTGGCTCTCCCCGACGATAGCAGCGACTCCGCGATCACCCTTCAGGGGCTGCTCGACGATTCGACGGCGCCCCGGGAGATGTCTGACTCGCATTGTACCAGCTGTACGCAGCTCACGTCGTCGCAGCAAGTCACGTTCATGAACAAGGTATCATATGTACGAGGGAGACCGTCGGCATAGTCGTAGACAGCCAGCCACTGCGAGCCATCGTCGACGTTGCGAGTATTCGAATGCGTGGTGGCACGCGAAGAAAAACCCCGAAAAATAATATCAGATCGATGGCCGCTGCTGGTGCCGCGCTGCGGCTGAAACTGTTTTGGTGTGGTGCGGGCTTGTGGCTCGTTCACCTGTACATTTTCATGTGCGTGCCTGCTGCGCGGGCATGCAGGTCTCGTCTACGTGTCTGACATGTGCTGAGCTCGGTACATGTGTACAGCTCGAGCGGCAATCCAGACGCAAACAATGCAGAGAGAAAAACGCTCAACGACGAAACACCCCCCTGCCCCCAAGAACGTATTTCCTTGTTTCACCCTTATGACCCATCGCCATTCTCTCGCCGCCGCGTCGTTCCGCGACCCCGACATCCACCCAGGCACCTGCAACATTGGTGGTGATAGTCAACCGAACGGGGTGGATAGACGGCGCCGGGGGCTACGGCGGCAAGGACAACCGAACGGTCCAGTTTGACCAGACGGCTTCGCTCCTCGTGCGGAGCGCTTCCGGAACCACGCAGAGGCAGGTCTACGACGTCCGGGGGTGAGTTGGTAGCATCACGAGAGGAAAGGGGTCGGGAAATGGGAAGGGGGAGGAGGGGGTTCGTTCGACCGACTTCCCACCCCCCACCCCTGCAGCGAATGCAGGCATTCCGCTCGATAACGTTGTACTTGTGTGGGTATAGTTCGATGTGAAAAACGTGGACTTACGGAACGCGTCGTGTCGCGAACTCGAATCAGGATCGGGGTGCACATCGGACCCAGTCTCAACGCGGGCCACTACAAGGCGTTCGTGGCGGGGCGAAGCGACACGTGGGTGTGCGCTGACGATGCGGACACCACGGAGGTGGGGACAAAACCGAAGCTTTTATAGAGTTGATCCTGCAGCGGCGTCGACCCCCGAAACCGCGGCTCGTCGTGCTACTGCGAAACAACTGTGTGTGGGGTGGGGGATGGGGGTGGTGGGCAAGTTATGTATTGTGGTCTGTGCGTGTAGAACAGAGAAAGGTAGAACGGGAGCATCGTCCGCCACCACTCCGACACTCCGACACTCTAGCAACACAACACAACACAACCCCGCCCGGTCAGGTGTCGTGGAGCGACGTGAGCAAGGTGAACCCGACGATCATGGTCCTCGAGAGGAGCCGCGGAGGCGGAGTCGCAGCCACCCACGGCACCGATGTGACCGCGTTCTGGAGCGCGGCGGTCGCTGCCGCCAGAGAGCAGGCTTCGGGGCCAGCAGGCCAGGCGGTGAGAACTCAGTTTGAGGGCGGGCCCGCGCGCCAATAGCCAAGCGCACCTCGTTCCGTGTTTGCCGGGGGTGGTCTTCGCGACGATACAAGCATAAATTCACGATAAAGCCACCCTTGGTGTGTCCTCAAGTCCATTTCTGTTGCCAACATCGCCAGGTGACCTTACCCTTCGACTTGGACAGCAAGGGTTGCGTGCACTCGAATTAGGGTTAGGGGACACAACGAGTTACTCCAATGTGCCCGTCGCTGCCGTCCTTCCCGACTGGTTTGTTGTGTTCTGAATCGTTCTGTGTCAAACCCTGCCCAGGCACCCGGCGGCGTTAGCGGCGATGGCAGCGGCGAGACCGACCGCGACAGCAGCGGCGGCGCGGACGGCGACGGCAGCGGCTGCGGCAGCGGCAGCGGCAGCTGCGGCAGCAAGAGCAGGAGCAGCAGCCGCAGCCGCAGCGGGAGCAGGAGTAGGAGCAGCAGCGGCGGCGGCAGCAGCAGCGGCAGCGGCAGCAGCAGCGACGAGGCCGATGATCTTCGGCGTCGCACGGGCAAGGTAATTTTAATTTGTCGACGCACGACGATCACCAAGTCAGGACGATTGTTTTCCGGGCGTCTCCTTTCTCGTGACAAGTTAGGAGGCGACCCGTGTCTACTCGTTCATCTGCTGTTCCTATGCCTGTTGCGGAAATCTCCTCGAGTTTGCCGAGGCGCGAATCCGCTTAAATTTCCCGCCAAAAATGCTCATCCTCCCCCTCCCCCGCCCCCGGCAGGCAGTAGGGAAGCAGCTGATCTCATGTACTTGTCCGCCACACCCATGACATGTCTACAGGTACCCAGCAGCAACGGCGGCGGCAGCGGCGGCGACGGCGCAAACAGCGGTGGCAGCGGCAGCAGCAGAAGGAGGGGCAGGAGCAGCAGTGGCAGCAGCGGCGGTGGCGGCGCCCTCTCGCCTGCCCAGGCAGATGCCATGAAGTCTCTCGAGCACAACGCGGCGTGGTTTCTGCGCGTCGAGGACAGGGAGGTCACCCCGGCGGAGAAGCAGGAGGCCCGCCGCCTGTTGGAGAACCCCCGGGAGCTGCACGGTCTCCGGAACGAGGCCCTGGACGACCCCCGAGTCTACCGGGGCACCAGATCGGCGGAGGACCTCGACCGCCACCAGCTCCGCAACCTGGTCGGCGCCGCCCTCCTACCGGAGAACGGCCTCTCCAAAATCCTAGGGTTCTTCCGCGGCGACCTGCGGGCGCTAGAGATCGCGTGCAAGGAGGCGGAGCTGCAGGGGCCGGTGAGGTTGAGCAAGTTCCTCGGCGAGCGGGGGGTCGACGTGCCGGTAAATCTCAACCACCCTGCGTTCGCCGGCGACCCGGCTGCTTGGACACGCCCCATCCTCCTCAAGCAGGGCATGTGTCTTCAGTACCAGAAGCGCGCCTTTTACCACGAGAGCCCCACCACCACCACCGGGAAGGCGTCCGCAGCGGCCAGCAAGGTCTCGTCCTTCCAGGGTGGGCCGGCCGGACACGGGAACCGACTGGGGGCATCCTGTGTGAAGGTGGAGGCGGACCGAGCCGGGTCCTCCGCGTCCGCGATCCCCCACTGCGCTGCGCTGTCACAGTTACGTCCCGAGCTCCGCAAAGTAGCCGGAGTGGTCGAGCGATCGTTTGCCCGTAGCTTTCTCCGCCACTTCACCGCGACTCCTGGTGTCGGGGTGTTTAGGGGTGGGGACATCACCCAGGCCGGGTGCGGGAGAGACACCGTCCGGGAGCTGGCGTCGGTCGGGGGGCGGAAGGCGTTCGTATACTGGGGGCGCCACCAGAGCAGGACTATCGGCGACCCCGACGCTCTGGAGAGCGCCGCGCGGGGGGATCTGGAGCTGTACAAAGCGTGTACCAACGGGGAGGCGGTCACCGACGCGCACGTCGGCGAGATGATGCTGGACATCTTGATGGAAGCCATCGAGATCCACGCCGGGGCCAACGGCGGGCCGACGGACGACGACATCCGGCGTAGCGACGAGCTCGAGGAGGCGCGCGACCAGGGGCTTCCCCGCATCCACGAGGATGCGGGGCGCGTAGGGAAGGAGCTGCGGGGCAAACACGTCCGAACCAGAGAGGACTGCCGCGCTGGAGGCAAGTATATACGTAGAGCTGTCAGTGTCTCGGGGCGGCCGAGGGTTTGTTGATGCTGTTGCTGCTGTCGCCGTCGCATGATGTTGTTGATTTTGTTGATGTCGTTTCTGCTGGCGCGGGTCGGAGCAGGGAAGAAGGGAGAGGAAGAGAGGTCTGGCTGGTGTTTTTTTGTCGTCTTTGCTTGCTGGCGTCTTTGTTTGTTTGTTTATTGTGCTATTCTACATAGTTTTCCAGGGTTTGTCTGTGGGGCTCCTTTTCGCGCAAGGGAGGTGAGCGGTCGCTGGCTGCCTCCGATGGCGAGGAACAAAGTGAACTTTCCTCTTGCTGTTGTTGTTTGTTCCTCTTCCGTATTGAACACACTTCACCGTCTGTCTCTATAGATAATATTATTTTGTTGCCGTGAAACCTCCTTGGTGCTGCTTTTTGTTTACGTTTTTTTCGTTTTTTTTCGGTGTTGGTGCTGCTCTTCGGTGAGCTTGATATCATCGACGACAAAAGATCCCGGATGACCACTGCTATAGAATCGCTTCGTGTTGGCGCCAACCTGGTTGAAGTCTCGCCCGTGTGTAGCCTCCATAGCCCAAGTACCTGCAGGAATGCGCCGATGGAGGTAGGTGACGGCTACCACTGTCGCTGTCGTTGTCGTTGGTGGTGTTGATGTGTAAGATCGATCTCGGGTGACCCCTTTGGATAGCACTGCTTTGTGTTGGCGCCAACCTTTGCGAGATCGCCATCCGGCCCACCTGCCCCTCCCCCCTCCGCCCCGAGGTTGAAAGATGGGCAGAGATCGCTCGCGACTGTTAGGTAGATGTATCGCTGCTATTCATCGTCCCAATATGCCGAGGTGGAGCCTGCTTGCAGTGTTATCGGCAGACCCCCTCGTTTGCCTCGTCTACGGCGATCCCTCCACCCGCGTGCCTGCCCGTCCACCCCCACTCGGCTGTCCCTCTCGCATCTTGACCGACTTGTTGTTTTAGGGGAGGCTTCGATCAAGAAGCGGAGGAGGGATCCCCAGAAGTTCAAGGACGACTGCGCGGCCGGCGGTAAGTTGCGGCTTTCGTCGCTCGCTGCTGCTTACGTCTTGTAATCGCCGACAATCGATCTTGCATGGCCACTGCGATAGCATTGCTTTGTGTTGGCGCCAACCTTTGCGAGATCGCCATCCGGCCCACCTTCCCCTCCCCCCTCCGCCCCGAGGTTGAAAGATGGGCAGAGATCGCTCGCGACTGTTAGGNTGTCTTTGTCCTCCTTTGCGCACTTTACTTGTGTGGGCAGCGGTGGCTGATGATCGCTCTCGTTTCTCCATGCATCCAAACCCGCAGGCAACGCAAGCTGGACCGGCCGCTCGAAGGGGCTCAACGAGGAGGGGGCCAAGGCAGCCTTGGTGGAGGCGGAGAAGGCCCGTGCCGCGGCGCCAGAAGAGGAGGCGGAGAAGGCGGGTCAAGTCGTGGCAGCTGCCACCAAAAGGGTGCAGCTGGCGAAGACCGCCAAGAAGCGCCGGAGTGACGGCGGTAAGTAAGATTGCCGCCGGCGTCGCAGTCTCTGTGGGCTTGCTCGGGCGGCGCCGAGGGTTTGTCGCCGCTCAGTGGCCTCCCCTGTTGTTACGGATTAGCACTGCTTTGTGCTGGCGCCAACCTTTGCGAGATCGCCATCCGGCCCACCTTCCCCTCCCCCCTCCGCCCCGAGGTTGAAAGATGGGCAGAGATCGCTCGCGAATGTTAGGGGGGGGTGATGCCGGTGTGGAGAACTGTTGTTGTCGCTGACGTCTTTTTTCTTGAGTTCGTGTTGTTCTAGTTTCCGGGGTTTGTTGCTTCCTCGATCTGTTTTTCGAATGGATTTATCCATGCAACCGCAGTCGATTATCATCATGTTTTGGCCGGCTGACACCCCCGTCGTCTCGATGCCACCCCCGTCGTCTCGATGCCACCTCCGTCGCTTTCGCATGCTGTTGCTGCTGCTGCTGCCGTTGCTGTGGCTGCTGTTGTTTCTTCCGATGCCGACGGAGCAGGGAAGAAGGGAGGTAAGAGAGNTGCTGTTTCTGCTGGCGCTGGTCGGAGCAGGGAGGCATGGAGGTAAGAGAGGTCTGGCTGGCTTGGCTGCTATTGCTTTCTTTGTCGTCGTCGTTGTTGCTGTTGTATCGATCTTGGTGTGGTGGTGGTGGTGTTGTTGTCGATGGATGCGCACCGTCTTGTTTGTGTTTTTGTATTCCCCCGCAGCTGTCGTTTTCGCTCTTGGGTTTCCCGGTCTTGAAGATAAAACGTTGTGTAGCTTCTACTCTGTCATAATCCCCCGCGCCTCTCCCCGTGATTTTCTCTGCCTCCGAACCTGATAACAGACGTACGGCACCGAAAGAAGAAGGGCCGTGGCGGGGAGAATGCCCACGAGCGGGGCGGTCTGGGCAAGAAGGCAGACGTGACCCTGGCAATGGTCACTCGGGTGGGCAAAGTCACCCCGGAGCAAGCGGGCTTCCACGACGTCCGGTGTACTTTCGTCGACCCGATCACGGGGGTGAGGTGCGGCAGGATCACGCCGTGGAACAAGAAAGCAGTCAAGGACCTTCGGCCCAGCGGCAAGGGTGAGTGGATTGCCGTAGTCGGTACCCACCAGCCCAGGGAGAACGGGGTGCGGCTGCACAGCTCTTCCTGCGCGCCGTGGCGGAAGACCGGGAAGGCGGTCGACGACGGGGAGTGCCTGATCGGAGCGGAGGGGGTCAAGTACCTGATGGCCAAACAAGCTTCTGTCATCGTGTCCCGCCACCAGACCGCCTACAAAGAGTTTTTGGCGAGCGCGACGTAGACGAGCGGGAGGCGACGAGTCGGCGTATACCGATTTTTTTGCATATTGACGGGCTCTGGTGTCTCGCAGCTGGCTGGCTGGCGGTTTATCCTTGGGGTGGACACCCAGATGGCGTCTCTTCGCTTATAGAGTGTGACGTCACGTGTGTATGTCCTGGGTGTGGTCCGCAGTGGAGTTCGAAGCAGATACCCGCCGGGCTCGTCATGTGCGTAAAAAAACGAGGAAAATCGCACCCGGCCAACTAGAGCAGAACCGCTCCCACCCATGGAGGGCGTTCCCGCGGTTCCTGCGTGCCCTCGTGCGTGCCTTGTCGTCGTGCTATGCGTATTCGTCTTGTTTGTTCCCTGTATCATCTCGTTGTGTCGCTAGCCTTGTCCACTCGCGGGGGATCGTTGTCTCGACACGATTTCCAATTTCATAGGGGAAGGGAGCGAAGTTCATGCGCGTCGAACTGGTGGGCGGGTTCGGTTCAGACAAAAAAAAATAGCAGTGTAAAAAAGTTGGATTTCTTCAGGACATCGTCTCGCCGGTGGTTTGATTGTGTTGTGGCCTTATCAGGGTTGTCCCCTGCATATGGCCCTTTTGCTCTTGCCCAGTCGGAGGTTGCATTTGTTTGGATGTGTTTGCGACGTTACGAGTCGGTTGGAGTACACGCGAAGAGAACACACAGGTGCTCAACGGGCATGCGAGCAGGAGAGCGCTGGATGCAACCCGCTGGACGGAGGTTGGGGTTGGGGGGATATAATCAACGTCTAGATATGATTCCGGCGTGGCCTATATAGACACCGACTGACTCCCACTGCGAATGCGGACGAATTCACGCTTGTGGTGCGCCTCAAGATCTGACCAGAGCTGTTGACACCGCGACAGACGACGTGGTCGGTGTGTGTGCAAAGACTCTCCAACCGTCGCGTATTTTACGACACCCACCGCCTGTAGAGCCGGCCCTCGACTCCCTCAACGGTCACCGTAGCACTCTGCTTTTGGAGCGCCGGCGAACTCTGCCCGCATGCTACCCTCACCCATTCCCCGAAACCAAGGCCGTGTCCTTCAAACACTTTGAAGGAAATTGCAGCGTGCATGACTTTCAAGTCACTGAACGTGTGCCGATCGTCTCCATTCACTGGTAACATTTTCCTGACCCAAACATTGGCCGATTTGCTGAATCGTTGGTTAATCTCCGCGGCAGTTAGATGAGCTGTGTCTTTGATGCCTCGGATCCTCTCTAAACCTTCGAAAAATTGTTCGAACTCACACAGAAGAGGAACTACAGTCTCGACCGCGCCAGTAGAGACGACAGCTACATGAGGGTTCCCCTCGCGCGGCGAGAATTCGGCCGCCCCAAGGATTTCCGGTAAACCACGACCGGACATGAAAGACAATGCACACACAAGTTCGAAGTAGTTTGCACGCGGGTATTTGACGATCGATGACATCAAATCGATTAACTCGGTTGCGTTTACCACAACCCCGCGCTCACACTTGGCGTCCAGAGCTTCCCTACGTTTTTTTCGTGGGAGGCTCTTTTCTTCTGGCGTAAGCTCGAGCCGAGAAACAAAACGTGGAAGCAGTTGCAATTTACGGAGATGTTCGTCGACTTCGGCCAGCCCGGTAAAGGAGTCCTTCCGAGAGTATACCTTGCGTCGTGCCGACCATTTGGCGCGAAGGTCTAGCTTGGCAAACATCAACACGCGCTCCTCGGCCGTTTTGAGCTGCTTGAGGTGATTCCGTTGTCCCTTAGTCTTCTTCGCCACCATTGCCTCCCTCTTGATGANTGGCGTAAGCTCGAGCCGAGAAACAAAATGTGGAAGCAGTTGCAATTTACGGAGATGTTCGTCGACTTCGGCCAGCCCGGTAAAGGAGTCCTTCCGAGAGTATACCTTGCGTCGTGCCGACCATTTGGCACGAAGGTCTAACTTGGCAAACATCAAGACGCGTCCCTCGGCCGTTTTGAGCTGCTTGAGGTAATTCCGTTGTCCCTTAGTCTTCTTCGCCACCATTGCCTCCCTCTTGATGAGCCTTTGCAACGACCGGAGCTCGTTCCTGACGGGACCGGCATTGTGGTTTGCGCCATATGTGTCCATCCACTGTAGCCTGACCTTTCTCACATTCTTATTCAGAGATCTCGGGTGTAATTTTCTCAATGCTTCAACGACTTCGTCTGGATCCTCGTTTTCTTCCAGCCATCTCGAACACGTCACAATAGTTTGGTCCATCTTGGGAAAATACACTTGCTCTGCCTACTTCATGCCATACAAAATAAACCAGCTTTTCGACAATAACGGTTACTTTTCTCTGTCACTTTGTAAGTCCCCTTCCCAAACCACCTCGGGCACGGTTGCACCTCAAACACTTTACGTCAACGTTGCCCGGCGTGTGGGGTAGGGCGTAGTCGAGACGATCAAGCGTGGGCTGACGCTCGCTGTACACTGCCCAGA